AATATTTATTATTCAACAAATTAAAATCAATTTATAAACAAATATTTTTAAATATCATAACTAATTATTTTAAAAAATCATAAATTAAAAAAATTACATTTAATTAGTGCTTTAACAAATTTAATTGTGGCAATAATCTTAGCCACAATCCCACCATCTCTTTCAGAGAATGTAGCATCATGATTTATCTTAGGCTTTATAATTAATTGATTAATTAATTAGTTAATAATAATTTACTAACATATACACGTAGCTGCATAAAAGATGACGTGGAATTCAAATAATTAAAATTTTTTTGATAAGCTTAGATAATTAAAATTTGAACTTACTAAATCTTTATTATTTTATGTATTAAATTTTATTTCACCATTATATCAAATTCGAAATTGATTCACAAATAATACTTTTGTATTATGAAATTTTATGACAAATACACAACTTCTAAGTCAAGAGAGCCAATTATAATTATTGTCAGTTTGTAGGGTTAGAAATTTTTTTGGTGACAAAACAAAATTTTAACCAAAAAATTATGCCATTAGGAATTAATTAAAGAGTCAATGAAATGAAAAAAAAAAATTATGGAAAAATTTAAAACTTAAATAAAAGTTTACTTCAATTTTATTAATCACTTAATTAAAATTGTAAACATATTATTGGTGTTAAAAAATAAAATAAGTTTTTTTTAATATATAAACTAATAAAGAAAACATGAAATTAAAATACCTTTAAATTTCACTTTAACGATAGAGATTAAATAAACTTATTATTTAAAGGCAAATTTAAATAAACTTATTATTTAAATACAAATTTAAATAAAAATGTTATAATTACAATATCGTATGATATTATAAGTTTTACAACATGATATTTTATTAAATAATTGACTCTTCTCATTTAAAATTTTATGTGTAACATTATATACATGCACTTATTCAACGTCATATCATATTCTTTTAATATAATATTCTTTTAATATCACATTCTGATTATAAATTTATAATTTTATATA